CCATGTTCTCTGGATATTTCCCTTTTCTTCACTTTATTTCATTAAGTTTCTTCCACTATTTTCTTCGGTTTTCCCATTTTTTGTGTATATATACCCAGCATCTGGTCTGAATAAAAAGGATGGGGGAAGGCAAGCATTCTAACTGGGCCAGGATTCTTATTTGTAGAGTACTTAATGTGTGTTCTCAATAACACGTTTACGAGTTGCATGAAATATAAACCCAATAAGGTCATTTTAGGGTGTGGGTGTTTCATGCGAGATAGCCTCAACCACACCCACACCCTACACCCACACCCCACACCCACCCACATCAGGATAAGTTTGATTTCTTGTGGGTCCCTGTAAACTTAGTAAAAATTTTTCGAAAACTTTTTTTATTAAACATATACCCCGTGTGTCAGTATGATTGCAACATTTTTCACTTTCAAATAGGAAGTTATTCATATAGCTTATGTAGAGCTTTCGACAACGCATCTTTTAAGAACGTATTTAAAATGTTATCATTTTTTCAAATCAAGATAAATACAAAATAAGAAAGTTTTCCAAAATTTTTTATTAAGTTCAATATGACAAGAAATAGTATTATCATACAGGTGATTTATTTTGATTATAGAAAAAGCATTAGACCAAGTCCATAGAACTTTCTTTTACAGAATTTTTTAGAGCGTTTCACGGTACATCTTTTAAAACAAAAATCAAGATTTTATCATTTCCTTAAGGCAAAATATGTGCAACTTAAGAAAACGTTGCAATTATTTTGGTACATCCGGTAATAATTCTATTTCTATATATTTCTATAGAAACTTGTTACAGTAAAACCTCTCTATATGGGCACCTCTATAACAAGGGCGCCTCGCTTATATGGGCAGTCAGCGGAAGGACCGATCGATTATTGCTGGAAGTGAGCCTCTATAACAAGGACATCTCCCACCTCTGAGAGTGGGCACTGTTTTTTAGGCCATACTGTATAGTTAAACCTCTCTTACATGGGCAGATATAGTGAATATTTTAATCAGTACACTGTTCTTTTTCTTCTCGTCGCTTTTTGTTGTTCTGAGAATAGAACAGAGAAAAGTTAATCCGATGTAACAAAGAAAATAACTCATCTATATATTTCTAATTGTGCCGTCAATGATAAAAAGAGAATAATTAGTCGTGCTATTTGACATTACTCTTTAAAATCATTGAAAAATGGCGTCGTGTCATTACCTTACGCTTGATGAGAAGATCGCATTGATCAACGACTATGCCGATTGAACTGGGCTATCGCAGCGCAAATTATGTGAGAAGTATAAGGCATCAAAGGGTGCTATGTACAACATTCTTCAATGAAAAGACGAATATAAGTACCATTTCCAATAGAACGCGAACAAAGGTGTCAAACACAAACTGCAAGACGAGTGGGGTCACAAGATCGATGAAACCATTTTCTCAGGGTGAAGGTGAGGGTAATAGACATCAGATAACTAGAGTAAAATATAGGACATAGTCAAAGATCTAAAGACCGATTGGTAATATATAAGTATGGACGCTCTTTATGACGTAGCTTGCAGAAAACATATTTGTGATCAGTATCTGTAAAAAACTCTATAACGCGGGCACCTCCGTCAGGTGGGCGATTTGAAAATGTCTAGTAGGTGTCCATCTAAGGGAGATTTTACTGTATATACATAATGAATGGATATATACGACGTACATATATATGAGTCATTGCACGAGAACCACGACCTACGTTGCTCAATGACTTTCTCCGATTTTGATTTTGATTAAAGCAATAGATAGTACTACTAAAGTTAGGTATATGGTAAAATNACTAGCGACATCTAATTATAAAACTGTTGGGTTGGATTCGACCCACATAGACCTCTGTTAATTGCACATGAATCATTTTCTCTAACATTTTAGGAAATATCATCTTCTGAATGAAAAACACTAGAGTATTTTGTAATTATTTCTTTAAAGGGATATCTTTTTGTTCAAAATCATCGATTGATTTAGAGTGAACTTAAGTAGTTCAATAATTTGTTTACTTTCTGAATAAGTAATAAATTATTGTCAAGATGTGTAATAGATGATATTCACTATATGAATGGCTACTTTGGTCTTTTTTTTTCTATCTTTCTTATATAGTTTCATTTTTTATCACAACTTTATGTTTCTGTATAAATTTTATATTTTTATTTTGACATTCTTTCAAAATTTACTTCTGTGTTTTTCGCAGATGTAATGTAATTGACTTTGCCGAATAAAAAAAAAAAAGTATTCGTTCATTTATTGATAGATATGAAAAAGTGCATATATCAATGAGACAATCTTAACATATAAATAGACAATATAAAATTATTTCAATGAATTTATCTATTTTTAAAATGTCTTTTTATCGTTATTTATCAACAGTAATTAAAACGACAAATACCAATGTTCAAGCATCGGTTCCTTCTGGAATAGTTAAACAATTATCAAAATATTCTTCTCATAAAGAACTTATTGAATATTCTCAACGACCTATTCAATATTGCTATCCCAATCGTATGATTGAAGCTTGTTCACAGCGTCATTCAAAACCCATAGATCTAATAAAAATAGCAACAGATCTTCATGATCAATTATTAGTACGTTTAGCACATTGTTTAAATTCTTTTCAATCAATTCCATTTTTACCCGGTGTTAATCCAACATTATTATCTCTACATGAACGTTATTTAAAATCTTTTGAAAATTTAATTCAATTTCCTCAAATAAAAACAATAAAAGATGAAGAAAATTTTTTTGAATTAATCAATAAATTTGCTATACAAAATAATGATGTTATTGGATTATTATCAACTGGTTGTAATGAAGCACAAAAACATTTTAAATCATATAAAATATTGCAAGATTTTCTTGATAATGTTTTACATATCCGTCTTGCAATGCGTTTACTTGCTGAACATTATATTGAATTACATAAACAACAACAACAAAAAAATGATCAAAACCAATCAGATTGGTGTGGAGCTATTTCAATGAAATTTTTACCCGTAAAAGTTGTACAACAATGTATTGATGATGTTTCTTCAATATGTTTTGAAACTTATAGTGTTGTACCACATGTTGAAATAGAAAATAATATACATGAACCTATACCATTTTTTCCAAGCATTGTAGAATATATTTTACGTGAATTATTAAAAAATTCTATGCGTGCCACTGTTGAATATAATAAAATATCATTAGGTAATATACAAAATGTAAAAAAATATTTCGAAGATAATCGCGATAAACCATTATGTAAAGTTGTTATTTCATCTGATCCAATTGATGAAGTTTTTACAATTGCTGTTAAAGATCAAGGTGGTGGAATAAATGCAAGTGATGATGAAATATTTCGATATATGTTTACTGGTAAAGAAATTAATAGGAAAACAAAAACAGACAATTATTTTATTTTTATTCTAGGTAATATAACGAAAGCGAATGGAGTAAACCAAGAAAAAGAAGAAGAAGAAGAAATTGATATTTTAGCAGATTATCAAGAACGTATGATACAATCGTAAGCTAAATGAGAATACTAAATCGAACGAGAAATAATTTAAACTTTTCAATTTAGATCAAAGCAAATGTATGGTTTTGGATTTGGTCTTCCTATTTGTCGTCTTTATGCGAAGTTTTTTGCTGGTTCTTTAACTGTTCAACAAGTATCACGTATTGGTGCTGATGCTTATCTTCGTTTAGGTTTTATACATACGAATTCTGAACGTATCAAGATTTAATCTTCAAATAACTGATTTCTGGTGTAGTCTTATCAGTGCATTATGAATAGATATTTTTTTTCCTTTTCATTGAACAACTAAATAAAACCGGTTATATTTAGATAAAATTGATTTTCATTATTACTGTAAATTTCTCAGTACATAAAATGTTAAACAAAATGATCTGAAAAATATTTATAAACCATTGATAACTGAGTCAGTATCTTTAAAAAGACAATATGACTTCATAAATTTCAATTTAAGAACTCATATTATTGTCATCGAAACATTTCTGAGTTTAATTAGACTTTTAATAAAATCTTAAGAAAGCATATAAGAAGTTTTTAAAATATCTTAGCTATGACGGATGCAATCACAAAGAAATTGAAATGTTAAAAAAGTATTTTTATAATTTAAGAATAATTCTTTTTTGCTATTTTGTAATCATATGAGGGAAATATCACAACTGTAACGCGTCTTTTGAACTCCCATAAGAAGCTTTCGATAAGACTACAAAAAGATTAAAAGCGCTCATCTCTAAAGGACTTTAGAGGCGAGTTGTAGCTGTTTTATTGAATTTTCGATCCATTTTTATGCATTTACTGGAAACTCAAATAATAGAATTTTGGCCTGAAATATTGTAGATAGATAGTTTTTTCTAGTCTTATTAAGATCTCCTGGCGGTCCCAATATGAACCTAAAACGCGAGTTACAGTTGAGGTAGTTTCTTCATTAGAATAAAATTTTATTAAAATATTTATCTTCGTCATTATTTGAAATATGATCTCATAAAGCATACACTTTATCACTAACCATATTGCTAGTCCCTTAAATCATATTCTAAGATTTCTTACATATTATATTATTCGTAGATTAATTGATAGGATCGACAAAATAAATTTATAAATAAAAATTAGTATTTGTTTAAATCATCTGTATAGTTCTTGTATAAGAGCGGCATCTGAATTTCTTGTCACATGTTACTATTGACTACAAATCTTAGTAACATGGTAGAAAACGACAAAAGAAAAGAGTGAAAAAAATAACGAAAAATATGCCAAAAAAAACATTGACAACTTCTTAATTTAAAGAGCTGTTCAAATAAAAAATATGTTTTAGCTGTATTTGTCATTGAAAAATAAGAGTTGTTTTTTTCATTCATTATATATGCAGTTAAAATATACAGACATTAAATCATATACAAATAAAAGAAATACATTTATTCACTGATACTATTTTGAGTTAAGATTGTCTTTTTTTTGTTTATGGATGGCAATCATAAGTTGTGGTCCAACAAGTACACCAACTATGGGTGAACGTCGTACAAATTCATACTCATTGCCACTTCATTATGTTCAAATCATAGCTATTATAGTAATATTCTTTCTTATATCGATGAACTATTTAACTTTATGCGTTAACATTCCAACACATCCATGGCAATGGTTAAATATTGTACTTTCTTCACTTTTTATTCTTCCTTTTTTTATTGTTTTCATTATATTAACTTATATTGATCCAGCTGACGATGAAGTAATATATAAAAGTCGTGGACCAAGAACTGATTTTGATCGTCGTCAACATGCACATGTTATAACAGATCTTTATTGTCATGTATGTGATGTACATGTTACAGAAAAAGCTAAACACTGCTCATCTTGTAATAAATGTATTTATTCGTTTGATCATCATTGTATATGGCTTAATACATGTGTTGGTGGAAAAAATTATCGTCTTTTTTTATCAATGTTGTCATTAATAGTTATTGGAACTTTATTTATTTTTTTCAATAGTTTACTTCAATTTATTGGTTCATTTCAAGATGTATCATCATCATCGTCATCATCATCACTTAGTTTAAAACCATATTATGGTTTAGGTAAGATATTAAGTTTCATCTTTAGATAAAATTACTAAAACATGTTACATTACTTAATCCGTTACTCTCCATAGTGGTTCTAGAAGAGTCACTGATAAAATACCTTCATAAACAGAGTATTAGCGTGTCTAATATGCTTATGATGTAGTTTGATTCACCAAGTGTTCATATCTTTGTGTAGAACCGTTTGATTGGCCCAGTGATCGCGAGGCAGAGAAAGAGAATTTAACGACATATTAAGCATTGATTTTTTTTTGTTGCTTTCTTTGACAACGTTATTGAGTGGACAAAAGCAACATTAACCTCATGCTATTGTAGTAATATAAGAAATGATGAAGTAGATTCATAGTAATTAATGTCAATCGAATGTATGTTTTTTTCGTACATTTTGTTACATAAATATTTATTTTACTTTGAGTAATTTTATAATTTCTAAAGATATTTAATTCATAATAAATACTATGTCAACTCTCTATAAGTTGAGATTTATAATACATATAGTTCCTTTGTTCTCGATTGCCCTTCAGCTGTCCAATAATGGCTTCATAGTTAATTGTATGCCTTAGTATGTATAATTCACCGAGTTATCATGAAACTTTCGAAACATATCTAACTCGCTTTTCGAAAAATTTGACTATTTCAAAATTATCGATTTTGTGTAGAGCTAAATATTTCAAAGGTGAAACGATGAAAAAAATTCTTTTATTAGCTAGTTACTAGCCCATGAAGTTCACTACAAAAAGAATATCCTTATTATTTTCAAATCTCACGCTTCCTTTACTTTCTGCAATTGTTCTACGAATGATCATTCCAGTCACCAAACTAGGGCTAAAGGGTTACGGCAAAATTATATGTGCCTTTACTTATGAATTAGATGTCTGTCAATCAGGAGTCGAGATATGTGTAATTAAGTTTTCTTTGTCCTGATCCTGCTTACTTCCTTTGTTGACATCTCGATCAGAAGTTCGACAAATCTTTAAATTTCAGTCGAGATCAGAGCGATCAGTCTGATCTGATGTCGTCTTTATTTATAATATTGGTTCAGACTACCAAGCCACAGTTATTGGCTTGTGTGTGAGTTAATATTATTCTTCCTAGGATAGCTTGAAAAATAAGATGGCGCCATAAGCTGACAATTTTGTGGTGTGAGTCGTCTCTTCACATAAAGTCATTCATATTTATACCCTTTTACCTCTTCATGGTACGTCGAATCATATTTTTTTTTCTATTATAATTACTTTTTTCCGATTATGTGAAATAGTGCTGGTATATTCAGAAACATTTTGATAAATCTCGTGTTTCTTGTATGAAAAATATTTTTGATGATTTATCTCTTTGCTTTAATTCGATATTTTATCCAAGAACTTGTAATTATACTCTCTGGATGAAAATAAATTAAGTGTATAATTGAAACTATAATGATACAATATAATGTGTGCAGAAAAACTTTGTGAATTTAAAAACAGAAACATCAGTCAGCCTTATTTGCCCTGTAAACCAAGTCAGTAAAAATTGACCTATTGACATAGCTTTGATCGAAATCAACACTAAAACTGGTTCCGATCAACTTTAGTCAAAAGGTATGAATCCAAAGAAAACATGTATACATAATCTAAATATAGATTCTTGGATTATGAAATTTTATTATAAATTAATTCATTTTCTCTTTTTCATGCAATCGTCACGTATATATTTCTAAAAAAAAGCCGCTCGATCTAAACTCATTACACAGTACATTCTACGTAGTACACATTAAAAATAAGTATTATTTCTATTATAATTAACCCCTAGTGAAATTCAATCATTGTCCAGATGCGTTAACTTACGGTCAAAAAATCTTTGTACTGTTAGAGAATGAAACAGAATGACCATCTCTATTTAATAAATGATAAAAAGAAAGTATGCATATAGTTTATATAAACTCATCTCATCTATTATGATTTCTTGTCAAGGCATGTCAATGTTCTCATCTTTCAATAATCCTTAAGTGATCAATATAGCTGTAATGTTGAATACTGCTATCTGTCCATGTTTCTATTAGATATTTGTTCACCGAAGCTTAAATAAGATGACTACTGAGTGTATGCATGATTTCAGTAGATTTTTTTTTCAAATTGGCAATAACTATCTTTTATTCTTTTTATATTAAACATAGATCAATACGCTATATTAATGATTCCGTCATCAAAAGCTGCTTTTCAAGTAATGACAGCAATTGTAGCATTCATTTCTATTGTGACTTGGGCATTAACTGGATATCTTCTTGGCTTTCATATTTATCTATGTAAGTAGTGAACAATAGGTTTTAATTTATAAATTCATATGAATTGGCATCTTTGTTTTTGATAAGGTTATTATGATTATTCAACATACGATTATGTTGTTAGTCAACGACATAATAAAACAGTTGATAAAACACTATCTCAATTTAATCAACTTAATCAAAATCATCAAAATCATTCATTATCATCAACAAAACAATCGACATTTAGTGCTCAAAAGGTTTAATTAATAATTCATATTTTATTTATTAACAATAGTTTTTTTTTATAGAGAAATAAAACTAATCCAATACCAGTCAATGAAGAAAATGATACAGCAAATCATTCAAAACAACTTCATAATTCAAACATTTTTACCATTGAAGAAAATTATGTATGTTAAATATTTTCAAAAAAAAAAACATTTATTGCAAACCAATTTACTGCTTATAGAGAGACTCTCCACGACGTTTACAAGTATGTCAAAGTTCAAATGAAGAAGCGTATGTTCTTAAAGGCGCATCGCAAATAGTTAATGAATATTAGTCAATAGCATGCGAAAAGTGTTTATTATTCTATGAAAAATTAATTATAAAAACACGTCATATTTTTAAATAGATCACTAATATCAATGATGGTGATGGATCAAGTGCATTTTTTAACCGTGTATTTTATAACAGTGATATATGTACATATTGCATGTTAGTGATACGGCAACTACAGATTTACTTTTTTTTTTCATAGTTCTGTTTTGTTTGTTATTTGTTAATAAAAGAAACTATTAAGAAATATGTGAATCAGAAACAACAGTAAGCAATAAGTGTTGCTTTACATGAATGTATCGCTGATGATGACCAGAGTAGTCTATAGACCAAATAGGTCAATCGATCTTTCTAATTTTTTGAATACACTTAATTCAATGTGTTTACATTATTATACTATTCTTGTTTCGGTTGTTCACTTAATTTATTTTTATAACGATAAGATACTTACAAGTTTTTAAACGAAATAGCACATGGGAAGAAACGCATAATCATCATAAAAGTATTTTCACATAAGAAAGGCTTAAATTAATGTCATGCCTTTGATCATATCAATTCTGTTTCGTATAATGGAAAAAAAAATGTAGTCATCATTGCAAAAACATCATGTGATCAGATTATTGTGAACAACAACGTGGGCATTAGGTGCAAAATTGAAAGTGAGATTTTTGGTAGTTTGAATAATGTGCAGTATACTTTGACTCATAGAAAATTTAAATAAAGTGAATGCTTTTGTTTCAGCATCCTATTTTACTGGAAAACATTGGCCACAAAATAATAAAGAAATTTTTCAGCGATCTCAAAAAAAAATTCATTTTTACAGAGAAGTTAGGAAAAGTGAACTAACAAATAATAAATATCCTGAAAATAGAACTTCTTCTCTGTCGATTGGTAAAAAATTTTTTGTTTCATTACTTTTTCATTTGAAAAAGTATTCTCCCTATCTGCACTGAAGTGTTACCTAAAAAGAAATCTTAGACAAATTGTCCTTCCACATTTTTCCATAGTTCCGATTTGCATGAGACTTTCAGAGATAATACTTCTCTATGTGATGCGTCTACTATATATGCATAAATGCTTCTAAACTGAGATACAGGTTTTCCGGAAAACCTTGAGTTTTGAAGTTTTTTCTTATTTTTCTAAATTTCGAACCAATTTTAGAGCGAAATAATAGTATATTTGGAATCAGCGCAAAAAGCTGCATTGTATGATGTATAGTTTGTTAAATTTTGAAAATAATAATTTTTTCCAGGAACTCAGAACAAGAGTACCTTTCAGAGATTTTCCGTTTCATTTTTTTTATCACTCATTCTTTTCTTAGTAAAGATTTATAATTTCATTTAAAAAACCTGCGATTTTGACAGTGTAGTTTATCTTATTCGAGTTTCTCGTAAACTTCTTTACGTCATTTGGTGAATAGAACCCAACATTTCATCATACAAAATTTTATTTTTTCTCGACAACATTTCCTAAGTTTGATTCACTACGAAAATGTTACTGAAATATATGCCGTCGAACGTGCCCAGAAATTTGGGCATTTGTACAAGAATTTCGACACACTACATAAATCTATCAATCTGATAGAACGAAAAACAAATGTTTCAGTCTCTACTCTTATCTGCAATACCTGAATATAGGCTAGGCTTTAACTATAGCGTCTATCGAATTATTATAGTTATATCATTAGAATCATTCTGAAAGTTTCAGTACAAAAGGATGTTTTTTTTTGTGCTGAAACTCTCAACATATTCTATGAATCATTAAACCTTTCTGTAGACAAAGCTTACATCGAAATTCTGCTTTTTTTAAAATTTTTCGATAAATACTTAAGGTTGCGTTGAAAAATTCGTAAACAGATCTTGAATCGGCTCCAAAGGTCTATGAAACCGAACCCTTTCAAACTTTGTCTTGTCTTATCACGGTATCTTTGTAGATACAAAATGAGCTCAAATAGCAGGTATCGATCCGGATGCTTCACTTGTTAGAATTTGATTGTTGTTCGAGGTATTTTTATTGTGAACAATGAAAGATATGCAATCGAAACAGTGAAAAACTTTTGTGTACTGTCTATGTCGGTTTGTTCAATTTAATAATTTTGTCTGGTTCGAAAAAAGATCGATGAAATATATTACAAAGCAGGCAAAGACTCTGCATACATTTTGTTTTAAATCGATAGTTGCAATACTATACCGTAGAAACATGACACTTTTTGTTGTTAGAAGAAGCAATGTGTCTGAGTTTCAAAATATATCAAAGAATCTGATCGAAAATATTTTGCAAAGACCGCAAAAATCTTAGTCCGAAAAGTATCATGAAACCTTTTCGTAATGTTTTTGAATTCAGCAAAAACTTTATCTAACAAGAAAATTTTTCTTCTTCATTTTGTTTTCCAGGCTTTCTCACGTAACATTATTATTCTACAAAATAAAAATATGCTACGCGTTTTACAACGATCGACATGAACATTTGTATTTCACCTTCTGGTATTACCGATTTTTCCGTAACTCGTGATTACAGTCAAATAACTAAATTTTGCTGCGAAATAGAAATTGCTAGAAGATATATAATTATATATTGTATGTGAAAAATGAGGCGTATTGAGTCGTCGACTAAACAACCTTATTTTGAATAGGATACACGTTCTCTATGTGATACAGTCAAATAAATATATTTGTATGCAATCGAAGTTACGAAAAAGTTTCATGAGGCTGTTCATTTGTCTAAATTTTTTGTGTTCTACGAGAAACGTTTCCAATTAAATTTTTGTACTAGATATTTTTCTCTTTCTAACAAAAAATGAGTCAAAGTTCTACCATATATCATTGCAATGCTGTATCAAAAGGAAATTTAATGCAGAACCTTTGTCCTATCCGTAACCTGTACTATTCTCATCATCATTATTTACTATATATAACTGTACATCTTCTCGGCTGTATTATTGACAATCACATGGGTTATATGTAATTAAATCATGCTGCTAATAACAATAAACTAAAATTTATTATTTTATCAAGTAGGATGATGATTTCTTTGATTAAGAATAAAAATCGTGCAATTATAAATTGTCTAAGTATTAATATTCGAAAAGACGCTTCTGATGACTAAATTCAACGATAAAAAGATCGTCGATGATTTTCAATGTTGAAGCATTGAAAGTGAAAATCGAGAGAAAAATAGTTTTTTCTTCTATATGATCATGTATCATTTCATGTTTCTGTACAGTATCTGATTCAATATGATATTGTCCAATGCTGAGAACATTGTCTATTTCAATATCGCTATTGTTATCTTCGTTTATAAAAATTTTCTTTTTTTCTTGTGCAGTAAAAGATTATTAATTTCTTTTTATTTAGTTCTTATACTTCTAAAATCAATCGATACATTGAGTTTCTTTTCATCGGATAAATTATTGTAAAATGTATTCGAAAATTATGCATATAACGCAGAAATAATATTTGCATTTATTTAGTGTAATTGATGTATATATTTCATTACAAATACGTCCACTTTTAACCATTTCCATTTTTTATCGCTTACAATATTTTACGATTTTTCTTACCAAGTATACCTTATGAATAGATAGTGATACTAAAAATGTTTTTATTGATCATGTTATTGATTCAAGCTATATTTTTTATTCACATCGTTTCAATTTCCAATGATTATAAGATGAATGAGTACAGGCTTCAATGGCTGAAATCTATATGTTATTTTTTTCTCTTCAATTGTGTCTACCCGACAATTTAACTAATGACTTATGTCAATCAGATATAGTGCAGTCAATTTTCTTATAAATAATTTTGTTATTAAAATTTTATCCATTAATATTTTAATAGAGATAAGTTTTGAAATAAAATATGTAAAATATTAATTTATGTCATAAAAGACGAACTAGAAAAAAAATTTCTTCATTAAATAGAAACTAGCGATCTCTAGCATTAATATCTATGTGCACATATTCTATTGGTTTGATTCGAGAAATCGATTCACAATAATACACAACACAAAGGTACAAAGAAAGAATGGAATAAGTATAATAGATAATCGCGATACTAGTCCCTATTATTTCATAAAAAATTTCGTCGTCAATAACCAGTTCATTCATCATCTTGTTTCTAGATCCTCTATCTTATTCTAATTAAATTCATTTCGATATATCTTTTTCCGTATCATTATAAAATCAATTATGTTTGAGGTATAGATCATGATTTGTAAAATGATAAATTTGGTAATTTTATTATCTATGATATTTAGGCTCGTCTTTTACATGGTTCAATCTTTGCAAAAGTTATTGAAGGTCTTCGTGAATTAGTCAATGAAGCAACATGGGAATGTAGTGGCAATGGTATTACATTACAAGCTATGGATAGTTCTCATGTTGCTTTAGTTTCACTTGTTATGCGAAGTGAAGGTTTTGAATCATATCGATGTGATCGAAATATGAGTTTAGGTATTAGTCTTGTCAGGTATAGTCATTAAATCTAAATTTAAATTTTTATTAATTATTCGTTTATTCAGCATGTCTAAAGTATTGAAAACAATGGGTAAAGATGATTCATTAACTATTCGTGTCAATGACGATTCAGATTCAATTATAATTGCGATGGAATCTCAAAGTAAGTTGTTGAAAAAAAAGCTGAAATTATTTTTTAATTCATTCGATATTTGTTTTTCTAGATCAAGATAAATTTGCTGATTATGAATTACGTTTAATGGATTTAGATAGTGAACATTTAGGCATTCCAGATACAGATTATTCATGTACAATTAAGATGCCTAGTAGTGAATTTTCTCGTATTTGTCGTGATATGAGTATTATGGGTGATTCAGTGCTTGTTTGCACAACTAAAGAAGGTGTTAAATTCTCAGCTAAAGGCGATCTTGGTCAAGGTATGTTTTATATTCATAGTAATTTTTTTTTCAATACAAGATCCCTCTAAAGTCAGTTGAATGACGAAAAACATTAACTATATTTGCCATAGTTTGATGAAATAGGCTGATTTTCTTTTACCGATGATTAAGTGGTGCTTATGTCCTTCAGAAAAACCTTGAAAAAAATAATCTTTATGTATCACTATTGGCTTCGACAGAGGAATGCAATCTTTCCCCGGTTACTTTTGGCCGGAGAAACTGCCCACGTGATCAATAGCGTATAACAAAGGAAATCCTTTGTAAGTCGAGACTACATGCATTATATAGATCTAAATGAGATATGAATATCCTGGATAGAGTTCTTGCATTTACCTTGTTTGTGCAATGATACTGTTACATTTTTGCGGGAAATTCCAAGTAAATTTCGTGATCCATTGAGAAACAGCAGGAAAACTGATTTTCATATTGAAACATTATATAGAGACAAACCTTACCGACAATAGTTTATTGTGAAAATCTCAAATCTTCAAAAACATCTAATCTAGCAGTTTATATGAATGTTTTTCGAAGAGAACCATGACATTCATGTGAAAAATATCTTAAAAATTTAGTATCTCCACAGAAATAAGCTAACGGTTCGTAGTCTCAACTGAAAAAACGATTTATTAGTTGGATCACCGCCCTTGTAAGTAAGCCCATGTTTGCCAAATAGTAGCGTACCACCTGTTCATAATAGCGTTGCATGTATTCGTTCTTACATGGACTTTTGATCGAGATGTTACATTTTCTGCTCTACAATCTGAATTTTCCAATAAAATCTTAATTTCAAAGTTTTAGTTTTCAGTTTTGTTGAGACTTTGGTTATGGGAGAGTTTAAGATCGAAAATTTGCAAGGAAGATTTTATTGAAGAATTGCAGTCTTACAGAAAAAGATAGGACATTTTGATCAAAAGTACAGGAAAGAAAGTATCACTTGCAGACTTATGAACAGACAGTTCGTTACTACTTGGGAAATACACATTTACAAGTTGATTAACTCAGAAGACCCTCCGCCGGCAGTAATCGGAAAAGACTGCGTTTCTATGTCAAGGTTAATAGTGACAAATCAAAACAATTCTTTTCCATATTTTCCGTATGTATACGAACATCGTTTTATCATCGTTAAAAAAAGTCAAATTATTTGATGAAACTATAGCTAAGATTTTTTTTGTTTGTTTTATTGTTTTTTAATCTACTTTGTTTATTTATATATATTATTGTTCAATTTTCTAGGTAGTATGCGTCTTGTTCAAACANCATCTAATCTAGCAGTTTATATGAATGTTTTTCGAAGAGAACCATGACATTCATGTGAAAAATATCTTAAAAATTTAGTATCTCCACAGAAATAAGCTAACGGTGCGTAGTCTCAACTGAAAAAATGATTTATTAGTTGGATCACCGCCCTTGTAAGTAAGCCCATGTTTGCCAAATAGTAGCGTACCACCTGTTCATAATAGCGTTGCATGTATTCGTTCTTATGTGGACTTTTGATCGAAATGTTACATTTTCTGCTCTACAATCTGAATTTTCCAATAAAATCTTAATTTCAAAACTTTTAGTTTTAAGCTTTGTCGATCAAGATCTGAAAGAGATGTGCTCGTGCACAATGTTTCAGTGTTTTGATACTGCATCCGAAAATTTTGAAATTTCGTCTACGACTTAATCTTGTTGAGACTTCGGTTGTGGGAGAGTTTAAGATCGAAAATTTGCAAGGAAGATTTTATTGCAGTGTTACAGAAAAAGATAGGACATTTTGATCAAAAGTACAGGAAAGAAAGTATCACTTGCAGACTTATGAACAGACAGTTCGTTACTACTTGGGAAATACGCATTTACAAGTTGATTAACTCAGAAGACCCTCCGCCGGCAGTAATCGGAAAAGACTGCGTTTCTATGTCAAGGTTAATAGTGATAAATCAAAACAATTCTTTTCTATATTTTCCGTAAGTATACCAACATCATTTTATCATCGTTAAAAAAGCCAAATTATTTGATGAAACTATAGCTAAGATTTTTTTTGTTTGTTTTATTGTTTTTTAATCTACTTTGTTTATTTATATATATTATTGTTCAATTTTCTAGGTAGTATTCGTCTTGTTCAAACAACCAATATTGAAAAAGAAGAAGAAGCAGTTGTTATTGAAATGAAAGAAGCTGTTGCACTTACATTTGCTGTACGATATTTGAGTATGTTTTGTAAAGCAGCCCCACTTTCACCTCAAGTTGGTTTAAGTCTTTCGGAAGATACACCTTTAAGTATGTGCTTAGATTTAATAAAATAAATATTTTACTTAATTCTTTAATTTCAGTGTGCGAATTTAAAATTGCTGAAATGGGCCATGTTCGCTTCTATTTGGCACCAAAGATTGAAGATGCAGATAGTTAAATGAAACAAGATATAGAAAATAGTCAAATATAAACATGTCAGATAGATATTTTTTCTGTATTCTTCTCTATATTTTGTCTATAAAATAATGAACGTTCGATGTATTAGGATATTTTTTTGTCGTATAAAATCATTCGATTCATATCTTTATCTCTTATTTCTAGATTAAACACAATGAGCAATACTGTGAGCTCAAGAAATTCTTTTTTTAATTTCAAAAAAGAAACATATTTTAATGATAGGTAACGACAAATGATTTGTCCGAAAAGCCAGTGAAAATAAACAAATGGGAAACAAATGCATTAAAAAATGCATTAGATGATGCATGCAAAAAGGTATTCTCCTTTTTCTTCTCTCTTATACATGTTATTTATACTTTTTCAATTTAGTTTTTTAAAGAGACACTTAAATTTGCTGAAGATAATAAATTAATGGATGGTCGTCTTTATATATCTTTTATTGCATGTTTATTTTCGGGATTTGCTTTAATCTATGACTGGTTACATCCATTTCCAAAGTCACGTTCAATACTCATTATTTGCGTTATATCGTAAGAAGAAAAAACTATATATATGTATATCTCGGCTCACCAAAAGTAGTGGCGGAAGTGTTTGAATTTTTTATTAAAATCCTAAAGAAACTATATTCTCTGTTAGCAGAGATGAGATTGGAACCAAACTGACCTAGCTTTTAATAAGTTCTAGCCCATCCTATCTCTGTCTCATAACAGAATGCTCTACATTACTGTGATATTTCATTATTCTTTAACTAATGTTATAATAGTTAAAATTCAATAAGACCTGCTGTGTAATGATATTTGACGGTTATATTTTGTGCGATAAGTGTATCTTCTTTTTTTTTGACGATTTCTCTAGTGCCTAGCCATCTATTCAAAAGAGTTTATAAAAACTGCTGACGGTAGAAGAAAAAAAGTAAGTTTCTACTTCAGTAATTCTCCGCATTTCCTATCATTCATGTGATTTTTTTATTATTCGACTTAAACAGAATCTATGTAAGGGAAATGATTCGAAATCATTGTATCATACTATCAACAAGTTCTTTAATTCTTTGAATAAAGGAGAGTAGAAGAAACGCTCGATAAATGGATTCAACGAATATAATAAAGATTTCATGTACTTTGTACATTTCATCTTTGTTTTACAGCCACAAGTTTTTATATACTCATATCTGTAGATAACTAAGTATTAGACTAGACGAGAAAAAGGAAAATACACATTGAAGACAATATATTACCGTCAAGTATCATAACAAACAAATCTTATTGACATTTAATTATTATAATATTAGTTGAAGAATCATCTTATATCAGAGATATGTAGAGCATTATTTTTATTCTCAAACTATATAAAAAGATATACTTCTCTATTACTTAATAAGATGAATTTGTTTTCTTAGCTATTTTATTCTTATGGGCATTCTTACAGTATATATGCAATTTATTGAGCGAGGTCGATTTTATGCTGGTAAACTTGGTAAGATTTTTTTGTTGTTATATTTTTAGTTTTTAATAATCTCTGGATTTAGTTGATCTAACTGGTATTGATCCTATATCACGTTGTACGATCTCATCTAAACTTAAAAAGTAAATAATTAAGTCTTAATTAATCAACATGTTATAGAAATTTATTTGTTTTTAAATATTTTAGACATGATGATAAATATAATTTAACTTTAGAATATAATGATGGTATAGATAAAACGACAAATTCTATACAAACAATATCAAAATCCGTTGGTAATTATTTTGATGAGAATGGTGTTTTATGCTATGATCGATTTACGAATGATTTGAAAAAGATTTATGATCAAGCACGATTAAATGCACGTAAAGTTAAATAATAATCAATAAATGCATAAAAAAGTTTAGAAATAAAAGAAAACAATGTTATTCGTTGTTATTATTTATCATATTTAATGCTAAAAAATAAACCATTTCATCATCGATATTTTCTCTTTTTTTGTTTTTGATCTTGTCTATAGAGACATGCATAAAAATGTTGTTTTTCTTCTAATTGTTTAAGATTATAATGAAAAAATAAAAGTTGAATTAAATGATAGCCAAAATAAATGAAAAGAATGAAATAAAGAAATTTATTAATATTTATTGGATAATCATCTTTGATATATAAATGACATTTTTGTGTAATTGAATTTGTTAAAAAAGAAAATGTTGGTAAAAGATGAATAAAATGAAAATTTTCTAACCAATTCCATATGTTAATATGAGGACTATTCATAATAGATATTGTTGATTGACATCGTTGTAATTGAAATGCAAGATTAAATGGTTGATATTTATTCCAAACATGCGAGAATAATGAACAGATACCAAATAAGAGACTAGCAAAGAATAGACGAGCAAAATGAATTAAATAACCTTTTTTGGATAACATTATAGATGAAAAAAATAAGCGGGAAAAATAGTTTTTCAATAAGATTAAGTCAATTTTAGTTTTAATAGTAAATTAAAAACAAGTACATAATTCATTGATATTGATCAAATGCGTTAAGTCTAATTTTACTAATTAATTATAGAATACATGTAGATAATGTTTTGAAATTTCAAAGAATTTAAATGAATGAAACAAAGTCTTTTAGGAAGAATATTGATTTTTATGAATTTCAAATTTTTCCTTAATAATCAATACAAATAAAATGATAATCCGATAGGATGATGGATTTAGACCTGATTCGTTCTTAGTTGGTCCTTTTCTTGTTTTTCAGTTACTCCTAACTCGTTCCTAATTGTCTGTTGATCAAGAGTTTACTTTATAGAGAAAGACCTATTTATTATCAAGGAGAGACAAGATCACAACACAGCTGAAGTCATATCTCTGCTAAGCGTGGATGTAGCTTTTTGTCTTCTTCTTACCAACACTCTGGTTAGTATACATTCTCCACAAGATACGCTACAATTGACACATTCAAATAAAATTAGAAACGAATTGGTGTCGGGTACAAATTGGTAAAGGAACAAGTTAGGATTCAATTAGAGTGGGACGAACCGGAAAACGATCGGAGGACCCAAGTTTCGTCGACAAGGTATTTCACCAATGGCAAAAGTTGGTGGACATTCGCAAGCTGTCAAGAAACAACATGTAGGAAACATGCGAAAACTTAAGCTAATATTGTTAATATATATATTATAGCTTATAGTCATGCATGTACTCGATAGAATTTTTTTAATCCATATGTAATTCATAGTCGAATTGACGAAATGTCGGTACCCCGAAACTTATAAGGAATGTTATTAACTAATAAATTGCATTTTCATCAAAAGCTATGGATTATCGGCTATCGACTATGCTGATTTTGGATGTAAACATGAGAAATTCACTTTTGTCTTTATATGCTGGTTTCCTAAACTCACAAACTTTTGGCAAAAATTCTTTGTTTTTTTGATCGATTCAGATTATAGAGCATGCCGAATTGCCGAGAAACCAGTAACTTTTTTCTGTTTCAGGTGCTTTTTTTTGCAGAAAATTTAGCTATTTTAATTCATACAATAGATACCAATCGACGTTTCACTGTGGAAATGTTTAAGATGATATTATTTTACTTAAAACTCATATTTGAAAAACAGAAAAAATTGTTCCTTTGCAGACAATTCGATGTACTCTATAATTTGAATAGGTCAAAAATAATTTATGGTCTACTTTCTGTAATTATGCGAATGAATAAAATTAAGAAAAAATGCTGTAACACACATAATCTAATAGAGACTATTAATAGATTTAAAAAGAGTAGGTGCTAGTTAACGATAATTATATCACATCTGATAATACTCACGATAGGCACAGACTAAGTTCTTAATGAGACCAATTACGTATGACATATTTATCATATTTGAGGATAATTTAGTTGATGAGAGTATTAAATGAGAATAGAATTTGAATGAGAACTTTGGGATGTAGTGCACTTTAAATTAATATCTAATATTATTTGAAGGATTTAATCTCAATTATTTTTATATAGTTTAGAGAATGTTTTATTAATGAATAGAATGAAATATCGTTGAATGTTATAATTTTAAGTCTGAGAAAGTTAATTATTCTGACGTGAAATATGTTTTTATCGACTTGATGTTGCACAATTATTATCCCTATACACTAATCCGTTATTATGGAGTATAAAGCTTGAATAATACAGCTTATTCTAAAAGCTGGAAAGTTTTTTTTTTTGACATACAACAACAGAGGTAGAATTTCATTCTATTTTGTTTTTTTTATTGAATAGACTGAAAAATCGTTCAGGTGCCCAGGAACAACAGTGTCATTTTGTTTCAATAGCTTATGCATTAATATATTCTTTAGAGAATAACTTCCTTGGTCCAAATATTTCATTAAAAATTGAATCATTCAAATTTTCTCCTTTAGTATTTAGAGTAATTAAAAATCAGAACTTAATGAAAACTTTCAGATATGATTGAGTTGTATATTGTTTGTTTTCATTCATTAAATGAACAGTAATCTTTCATATTATTTAGTTTTTATGCATACCTATAAACTCTTTGTAGATATTTTCAATTCAATGACGTATTAAATAAATAAAAAAATAGTTATAATATTTTCAAGGCACAATGCAAATAAAAGAAAAAAAATTATCTTATTTATTAATTATCATCAATTGACACAATTGCTTCTTAAAATGTCAATTCATTTCTTTTCTTCCCTTGAATATTTATTTTCAACTCTATTAAGAATAATTGTGCTATTAATTTTTATTTTTGCGTCAATTATTCAACAATATATGTCTATTTTGTAATGGAATTTAAAATATATGCTAAAAAAATGAAATAAATAATAGTTTTTTCCTCAAAAGTTAAAGCATGATGATACAAAACCGGGCTTCATATAAACCAAAGCCAAATCTTTTTTTGATTTTCGAATTTGTCTGAAAACAAAACTATTTGATTAAATCACATTTTCAGCATTGTTCGGATTATTGTCGAAATAGTAAATTCATATTTCATTTGACACCAAGTCGCAGCCGAATAATTCAACATAAAACTTCATTATCTGCCGAATCAATATCCACATGATCATACATAATTAATACCGGTTTTATTCAATTATGTAGTCTATCTCCAACAGAATCAAAATAGATTGAAATTTTAAATAGTTAGTTTTCATTATATACTTATATTAAATTAATATAACATAAAATCATTCTTGATTTCCTAAAATGTAAAGTACCTCAAACAATAAAAAACAACATTTATAAACGTTTTGTATTTCATCCATCTGTCTTATAGTAGAAATATAATATGATTTATGTGTTGTTCGAAAGCAAATGTTACAGATAAAAATAGCAATATCGATTATAATTATAAGCAACTGTTACATTAATCATATTTTTGAAGTGTAATATTTAATAGAAGAGAAAAAAAAGTTGTTTTTCTTTTGCTTGAGGGAGAAGCTAATGAATCATATAGATCATATTCTTAACGCTTTTTTTATTTTGATAAATTCCACACATAGTATAAGATCTCTTCGTATATCATCTTGATGTTATCATCTTGAGTACTAATAAACAATTAACAAATAGTAATATATTAATTTCAAGATAATAAAATCTCACATATAATTTTGAAATTATTCTTTTCATAAATACATAAATAAATATATTTATATTTCCTTAATTAATTCTTTTTTCTTTTACACAGTTGATGTATCAAACATTTTATTTAATCCTAGACTGGTACCATCTTGACTTGTTTTAAACTTAAATTTTTGACATGTTATTGTTTGTAAAAATTCTCCACGAAATATTTGACTTGTTAAACAATATAAATAAAAATTACAAGCAAAATGCATATACATTATTGCACGAAGCATACGAAATATAAATATATAATATGCACTATCACGTGCAAAATTTGGATAACTTATAATAACTTGTTCAATAAAAATAAGATAGATTGTTACAGGCACTGTTGTACAAAGAAATACAATAACACATGATAACATCATTAATGACATTTGTCGTTCAATGGCTTTTCGTTGTGATGGAGTTCGTTTTATAGGATTAGTGCCATTTAATTTTTTATGAATATTTGTTATTTTCATCATTTGTTCATTTTTATTTCCTTGATTTTCAAAATGATGACGATTACGTCGAAGTATATAAATAATACGTACATTACATAATATCATTATACAAGCAGGTAAAAAACAAAATACAATCATATCTATTTTTGGCCAAATTATTTTATAAAAATAATAATATTTTGGATATGCTTCACGATTTTCTAAACAATGTGCTGTTGTTCGATTTCCACCACGTTCTTGTCCAATACCTGGAGAAAAATAATGTCCATTAATACCACATAATAGAATAAAACATATTGAAATCATTATTAATGCATTACGTGGAGTGCATATTATCTTAGAATGTAAAGGAATTTCTGTACGCAAAAAACGATCAAATGCTAAACCGACTATACACCATGATGATAGATCCATAAAAACATATGCAAAAAATGTACGAAAACGGCATGCAAGTGCAGAATAATTTTGTAATTGGATAGAAAATGCGTCAGCCAAAAAGAACCATAAGGATGTTACAAGTGCAATAGAATCACTGATTGAAAGAATAAGTAGAAATATACTACTAGAAATTTGACGCATACGTGGACTGGAAAATGTAATAAGTGCAAGTATATTACCAATAAATCCTAAGAAATAAATAATCGCATAGAGTATTGTACCAATACGATTTCCCAATAAATAATAATCGAAAATTACCATTGATTGTGTGGATAAATAATTGTTAGTAAGATTCATCGAGTAGGTTAAATTTGTCATAAGAATAAATGTGAAATAAGGTATGAGAAAGAATACTTTTTTCTTTTTAAAGATATGCTACCATAAAAGAGTACACGATTCATTTTTTATAAGGATGTAAATAAATTTTTGCTTCATTTAACTTGTCTTTAGAGAAAAGCGAATAACTGAATGTTGATGAAAATTATTGTCATTAGATGAAGTTGTCCTATGATAATGTGAGATATATTCCTTTTTTTTCTTATCCAATGTCATTATGAATAAGTATGAAATTTTTCTTCGTAACATGCGCAAGTTATTTTATATCATTTTTAATTACCTTCATTTTTGGAAATATATTATTCTTTATCATTTTCTTTTTGTATAGAAAAAAAAGAGTGTTTATTCGTGACGAAAGATTACTATCTTCAAATAATGTTTAATAAATATGTGATGACGACAGAAATTTTAGCTTATTGATACATTGTTTTTCCACATCCTTGGGAAATAAAGTGTTCTTTACGAATGGTCTAGAAGATGAAACTTGACACCTAGACTCATGTTTTTGGGGTAGTGGTATGTGAAGATGTTCACCATTTGGTAAATTAATAAGAACAAAATAGGGCGTAGGATGTGTTATAATACGTGACGTAGGTAATAAAGTATGCGATGATGAAAATGTTGTTGATAACTGATGACAACTTGCTGAACGGGCACACGGTCGTAATAAATGTTGCTTTTTATTTCGAGTAAAATAAGGTCGTGTCCAGTATATTGCTTCAGATATGGTATGACTACATAAATTGTCGTTATTAGTCGTTTGAATTGAGAATTTCTTTTCCTCTGATTGGTTAACCTAAGAAAGAGAATAGACAAGAAGAAAACAACTAAGAGACGAGAGAAACAAAATCGCTGATGAAAGACGCCGAAAATCAACTTTTCTTGTGTATTTCGTGAGAGATAATTGAGAGTGTTTCTATGCTTTTTATCTTTGTGGCACTCTAGTTCATGAATAAAGAATAAAAAAAGATGAATAAATATTAGGTTTTAGTTAGATTATAGACTGCCAGCTGCTGAGTGCATATATTAATAATAATAAAAAGAACATTCTTTCGAGCATCCTTTCCTATCAGGAAATACAAACATTGATAAACATATTATTTGAAGATGACATACATTTTAAGCATTTAAAAAGAAAAACTCTTTGTGAACTTACAGGTACTTTTATTGAACGAAGATTTGTTATATAATGTCGTTTTTGATTATTTGGTTTTATTAAACCATTTGTTCGATTTTGAAATCGATCTTCATATTTATTTTCAATTAAAAAACATAAAATATTTTTTGCATGAAAACGAAATCGTCGACATAGAATAATACAAATAAAACATTTATATGCATATGATAAAGTTATATATGATTGTACTTCATGATTAAAACTAATTAAATATGAATAAAATGGTGAATATGGTGATAATGACATAAGTAATATATCACTTAATCGAATTGGTAAATTAAAAAATGAATGTATAATACCAATAGTTGCACCTATATATTTAAAAGAATTATTCAATTTTTCATCATATTTTTTATTTTGAAATGTACGATATATAATTATGATTGAAACAATAAATATAATTATACATGGTATTGAAATTCCAAGAAGATTATATCCATAATTTGTTGCATTTAATAATTGTTTATTTGTTGTATCTAATAGTATTGAACATACACCAACAACTCCTTCTATTCTTAGATATTTATAGATTATATTTAATGAAAAAAAAAACGAAATTTTTTTTTAATTTTTACCTTGTTGATAATCTTGCAAATCTTCTTTTTTTTGATACTTCAGAACTTCTATTGGATATATATTGTAAAGACCAAAAATGAATATAAGAAAAACAGTTGAATATTTTGCATTAATATAATACAAACTACGATTCCAACATGAATATTTTTCATTGTATTTCATTGTTAAAATAAATTGATTAAGTATCAAAAAAAATAATAACCATGTTGCAAGAAGAACACTCATTTTAGCAAAATAAGTAAAAAATTTACAACAAAAATCCGATATATGTATTAAATAATGTTGACCAGCTGAACGATCTTTATGAATATAACTGAAAAAATTATCAATAAAATGATAAAGAATTAATAATGTATCAATAAATATAATTTCAAACAGAAATCTTTCAAATGAACCGGTTGAAGTATTTCTTAAATATGATATTTCCATTGAATTATTATTATTATTGCGTCGAGTAAATAAACCATTTCGTATAAGAATAACAATTAAAAGAATATTTAATGGTAAACCAACTAATGCTGAACATACAGCAAAAAAAACATATTTATCATAATGAATATCAACTAATTCACTATAGAATTGATAAGGTGTTTCATTATAAAATAATGCAAATAAGGATTCATTGTTGATCATAATTGTGAAATAATTCTATTAAGTTATTGACACAAGAAAACTGAAATAAGAAATTAATATTGTCTAAGAAAACAAGGCGTATAGTTATTTGTAAATATTCACATTTAATTCAATTATATGATGATAAAATATTCCCAAAAGACTTAATAAGTTCAGTTAGTTTTCTTTTTACTCACTCTTTATATTAAATAGAATATTTCTTTGATATTTATTAATATAACAGAATCGACAACTTTCTTTCTATATGATACTATCAAGCAACAAAAAACAATTTATATCATATGAAAATTTACAATAATCGATGTCATTTTTCTCTTTTTCTTTTCTTTTGACATTTTTACTATTGATGTTAATGCCAATTGGTATCATGATTTCCTTTTTTTTTTTTCTTATTTTTTTTCCAACTTGATTAACTTCTTTTTTTCTATGAAAAAGAAAATTTCTAGAATTGTAATAAGATGCATTACCGTAATTTATCAGAATAATGATAGACAAAAGACTGATTATTTATTTCCTGTTTTTCATAATCTTTTAATTTCTTGACGTCATTCATTAAAACTAAAGAAATCATATTTTATTTTTCATCTATTTTTTTTTTCTGTGTGACGTCGATTAAAATATTTATCAATCTAACTAAAGAAAAGCATTTGATTGATATTTTTGGAATAAGTATTGAAATTATACTACTCGTTTTTCTATATGTTTTCATTTAATTCGAATAAAAACAGATTGAATATTCTAATAGTCGGAAATACTTCTTCATTTTATTCTATTATTATAAATAATTATATCTGATATTAGTGACATTCTTATGTATTTCTTTTAATTTTGTAAATGAGATAGAACTACGTAGAAAATATTCCCTAAGGTTAAGACTGCTAAGTTCTAAAATTTGAATTCTTTTCAATATACTAAGTGCAGCACTCTGCATATTGACTCAGTAATTAAAACAGACATACTTACAATATAACAGAATAAATATATTCGTATAGCAGAGTAAGAATACCTAGACTTATCTAGACGACGAATATATTAATACCAATGATGTATATGATATTTTTTTTATAAAATAAATATTTGCTTTTGTCGTATTTATGACCAAATTACGTTTGCCCCAAGAGAATCGTGTAAATATAAAGAAAATAATAATTCAGAATTTTGTATATTCTGCTTATCGATCTCTAATTTGATGATAACAAAAAAAATGATTGAGTTAGTTTGTTGAATAGTACAGATGCGCCAATTTCAATATTGAGTTTTGACTTCGAATCGAATTCTTAATTTATGTGAATTGCTACAAAATTAATAATTCCTTAACAACGAATTCCAATTCTTGTAATATATGCATTCCTGTTGAATAGGTTTATTATACATATGGTCTTAAGCAAAAAAAAACAAAAATATCAATGGATTGTACTGAAATTAATTTCGTTTTTTATAAATTTTCTTAATCATTAAAAAATAGAAAACTAGTCTATACAGAGAATGAGAAAACATAACAGGTAATACATAGATGAATGACCAGTTTTTTTTTCTTTATATCACTTAGTACGTTTTATACAAAAACAAAATATAACACAACACGTAATATGAAAAGTTCTACAATGGACCAATAACAATGTTAAAAAAACATGTATACACTATTTATTTTTAAAATGGACAAAATTTTGTGTGATTAATTCTTAACACTATGAAGATGATGATCGGTTTTTGAAAAATGATCTATTCGTTTCCCTATCTCATCAATTGAAGATAATTCTATTCATTGAGAAAAAAAAACATTTTTTTCTTCATAGCGTGTCTATATTGCAACTCGACAGAAAGTAGATGAACAAGAGGATATAAATCCAAAAGGCAAAATATTCAATATGAATTATGGTTTGGTTAGGTACATTTTAAATCTTCAATTATATTTAAACCTGATGAATGATTATTGATGCATAATAATTAATTTGAAGTTGTTCTCCTACTTGCGTAATCGGAAATCAAAAAGAACCTGAACAACGTTTTCATCTATCCGCAAAACAATGCAACGCCACATACCTATCAGGAATCATTGGCATGATGTAAACAAAAATTTCATACATTTTATAAACAGCAATAGATGTTCACCAAATAGTCTCGATCTTAATATGTTGGGTTCTTATGAATGGGACGCTATCATCTATAAATTAAAAACTATGATTCTTTTATTGAAGAAATAAAAAGAGTAATTCGTCGTGTATCAAAATACTACTCTTGTTCGCAGTGTTGAGAAATTGATCATACAGAATTTCGTCTACTTTGAAAACAAAAGGCATATATATATATTTAGAAAAACTATTTTTATCGGTATATTGCAGAGCACTTTTCAAGTCATATCTTGTGCTATATATTTTTTGTTTTTGAGTAAAATATACGAAGTGATAGAAATTAGGAAAAAAAGAAATAATCAGCCATTCATTATGGCGTACCCGCAAGTATTTTTTGAATAAAAAAAAAAGTATTTATATGAAACTAAACATGATATGACTAAAGCAAAAAAAAAGAGAACATCTCTCGTTATAAATTTTTTTTAATTAACTTTTTTAGTGACGTAAAGTATTTTTTTTCTGTATGATTATTAATGAACGGTAAAATATGTCAAATGAAAATGAAATAATTCCAGTTGACGTTCTAGTTATGAAGAAGCTAATGAAAAATGAGTTTACAGTGCATCATATCAAAGTATTTTGTTTCGAAAAAGAATTTCTCGTGATGTTAAAATCTTATCAACTATGAATATGGTCCTCAGATATGGTACAATTAGGAATAAAATACTCTAGATGTTGGTTTGAGCGTAAGTTACTTTTAACTGAAGTCGTAAATTTTGCAATTTAAAGGCAAAATATTCTATTTCTCATACTTGAGGCTTAGTTTTTTTTTCAAGAGACTATCACGCTACTTTTTTTAATGTATCTATTCCAAATAATGACCTTAAACACTTGAAAGTTTTAACTCAAAAGGATAAGAGTTTAGAATAAAAAGAAATTTCAAATACTGTTAATGTAATAATTCAAATATTAACATTCTTTTCAAGTAATCAACTATCGATTGTCCAACTTTGAGATTGATATTCGAGTAAATATAATTATGTGTTTAAAGTTTCTTTGACACCTTCATCTTCTGTATTTGTGTCAATGTATGTATAAAAATTCTTTAGTACCTTATCAATAGATATTTTAATACTTGCAGCTTAAAATATTTTCATAGTTGAATTCAAGTTTCGATTATATTACATGTGTATGATCAAAATCTTTGTCGAACTTGTCTGTTTTATTGCTTAATATGCCGTACTCGAGAGTCATTTAGTGCTCTTTATTCTATGAAGTTCTTGCACTCATATTACCTCGCATCAATTAAACAACTAATCAGCATTCTCTTATTCTTGTAATGAAATAAGTGATAATAGAACTGAAATCTTCTCAAACAATTATTTCCGAAGTAATTGGATGATTCGATTCAGTTCATTCATTGTCTATTAGCTAGAATATGATAAACACTATTGCCTTCCTTTTCATATTATCAAACGATCATTTTTTCTCGTCTCTTTTCAGCATCACTGCTGGCAAGTCATAATAATTCAACAGTTGATAAATGAAGGAAAATAGATCTTTTTGCAATTTTTCGTCGTTTATTCTTTTGCTTGATACTCACGCATATAGACAGAAAATGACAAAATTTGACATCTTATTACAAAAATTATTGTTTAGAACAATGAAAAGAGAAAGAATGACAGTGAAATTCATTATCATAGAGTGTCTAATTTTATTCAAGAATAGTTTGAAGAGAAATTCACTCACAGGCCATCCATGAAGGATGTTCCAGAAACGAATGGAGGAAAGGGTCAGACGCACCTGAACGTCTGGATACTTATTATAATTCTTTTATCATCTACTAAGGATCTTTCGCAGAATATTCGAGTTAAATTGGTTTCGAGTAGCATTTCGAGATGAACACTTTCTCAGAATTTTCTGACACATCTTCTACGAATAAATCACATATATCAGTCGTTTAATACATAAAAAACCAATATATTCAAATAGATAGGCTTTTAAAATGAAGAAAACAAGCATACTTCTGTACTTCTTCATACTTCCCGAAACCATTGTTTTATCCAGCATGAAGACTAAGAGAGCGATGCCTCTCAAAAAAATCGACTGTGTTCTCCTGGAATTCAGAATCATTGTGCTATATACTATGTGTTAATACTGTCGAAAGTAAATGTTGATCCTTCTAAAGTTTGAATCACCTAATTGCGAAAGAAAACTTAAACAACATACGGTTTCAAGCTTCACTATTTTTCTTCGAACATCATCATACTTCTTCATATGTCTCCGTACCTCTTATAATTATTTTCTTAATTATCTTTTGTAAAATAACTATAATGATCTTACAAAAAAAAAACACTTTCTTTGATATTTCTCAGTACGTCATAATACTTGGTATTTCTATACTTCTGTATATTTTGGAAGTAGAGAAATATGTTTCTTTTTTTCTCCGTGTAGACTCTGTTAAAAAGCTTTGAAAGCTGAATACCGAAGAGAGGCATGGGATTCAGTAAAAAGTCGGACAAGAGGAGGAAGCAGTCAAAAAATAATATTTTCTACTTGGATATTTTTTATAGATGGCTCTTTAAACGAATCTTATCTTCTCAGGTGGTGAACCATGAAAACCTATAAGATTACATAGAAAATATTGAATATTTTTATTCTTTCTAAACACTTATTCTTTTCAGCAGAAACTTTCAGATGATTAAGATTATTATTTGAAATAGATACAGTAAAAATTTCAACTTAATATGCTTCTGCTTCTTCAAGAAAACTAAAATTCAAATGCAAAATTAGAAATTTTGCTTATAAATTACAAAATTTATAACTTCTACAAAAACAAATTTACCACCAAACTTACCTTAGATCATTTTACTTCTTTCTATGTCTTATCTAACTAGCATGTTCTTAGTTCATATAAAAATAATGGCC